ATGTACTGCACCACCTCCATGGAATGGGGGTTCTTCCCAGCTTTGGAATTCGCTGAATACTCTACAAGAATCTGTGAGGCCCAAAGCAAGGAGAAGTCTTTGCTCAAGTAAGCTGTCTCCCCCATCCCCTTTGGTGTTGCCCAGGGACTCCCTCACACCCATGGTATGAATACTCTGAAGTCACTGCCGAAAGCGTGACAGATGCTGCTGTTTGCATTACCTTGTGATTGGGATGACTTTGTTAAGGATTTAGTTCCAGAGGGTCCCTGGGAACCGTCGTTTTTGCTGGCTCCCTTATAAACAGGAGGCTTGGTTTCCTCAAGTAATTCCAGAAGTGATCTCTATTCATGTATGTGTCATCTGTGGTGCATACAAAGCCCCACCCCTTCATGAGCTTGAGCCCTTTTTTCTTATAGCCATTTCCCAAAAGACCAAGGCAAGAAAGGTTGAAAATTTCTGGATGGTTCTTCATCCATGGTTTTCTTGTAGAGAGATTATGGATCCAAGGATCTAGCCCCTGGCCAGCAGGTGACAATAACTCATTCAGGTCAGGCTGTGGCAGAGCTCTTCAGGGCTGGTCACTGAGAGCAGGGCTTTTCTGTGCACTTTTCTCTAGAGGTGAGGCTTTGTGATGTCCAAGGTTCTAGGTGTTTCCTTCAAGGTATAAGGAAAAAGAAGAGAAGTAAACATCTGTCCAACACCTTGTTATTTGTGAGATGAAATTCTCAATATGTGTAACTTAAAAGTTTCTTGTCCGCTCTTTCCTTTTATTTTATTTTTAATTTATTTATTACTGAGAGAAAGAAGGAGAGGAAAGGAGAAAGACACCCTTGAAAGGGTCTCATCCCACTATGACCTCTCCACTCCCAGCATTCAGTCAGCCAGGCATATGTTGTGTCCAGCATGTTCAGGTTCACCTGGGATTTGATCTTATGGTCTCCTGTATGACTCCAATATCACATAGCAGCACTCTCCCACCTGTGCAAGTGTAGCTAGGCCTCTGCTATTTCTTATCACTGGGTTATAACCACTGAGGGTAGGTCCACATTCACTGTCACTACTCTAAAAATTTTCTCAAATCAAGCCCTACTAAAACAAGGGTAGAGTCCAAAATGCAAAACACCTAAGGAAGCAGTCCACTGATCACGAGAGTCTAAAGATATGACAAAAGGCAGGATAGATACTCAAAGTGTCAAATAATTAAATAATGGATTTTAAAAATGACAAAATAACAATATTTTAAATAATTAAAAACAAGAAAGAATTAGAAACATAAGTATGAAAAAAGAACTGGCAGATTAAAAAACATAAAGAACTTAAAGAAATATAGTTATTGAAATTAAAATCTCCATGGATGAATTAAGTAATAGAATAGACACGACTAAAGAAAAGATTTATGAACTGGATGATAGACCTGAAAAATAACCCAGAATGCAGTACAGAAATATAAAGGATGTGGCAGAGAGTCATTGGCAGGGAGGGTAGACTAGACAGTCCAGCACACATCTAGTAGAAGTTCATGAGGAGACTTAATGACTGAGCATTTTTCAGAACTATGGAAGCATAATGAGTCCTGAGTACGAAAAGTGAAAATCAATGAACATACAGACATGCGAGAACAAAACAGCAGAGCATCTGGGAACCAGCAGTTAGCGTAATGGCTATGTCGCTGGACTCCCACGTAGTCAACCGCGGTTCGTGTCCCGGACCCGGTGGCTTAAAACTCACGCTGGGCGCGTGTGCGTGCGTGCCCAAGATCCCGAGAGGAGAATGGAGGAGAAGGGATTGCGGCGTGACCATCCCCCCTGGGGGGTGATTTCTCGCTTTCTGTCTCTATGTCTCTCTCTGTCTGTCTGGCGAGCGCACGCGCCTTACAGTGAAAATCTCTCAAAAAAAAAAAAAAAAAAAGGAGAAAAAAAAAAAAAAACAGCGGAGCATCAAGCATAAAGAAAAAATTTTAAAGCAACCTCAGAAAAATGTCAGATGACTCTACAAGAATGAAACTGGCAGCAGGCTTTCAGAACAATAATAGGAACCAGGAGACAGTGGAGCAGTTTGATGAAAGAACTTAGAGAAAACACTGCTAACTGAGTCCTATAAATAGATAACTCATCCTTCAAGAATGGCTGGATAGTGACATTTTATACTGGGATTGAGAGTTGTGGGCCCACTAACAGGTCCCCTAAGAGACAATCAGGCATAGCTGCACTTAGAACATGCAAGATGCAGAAGGAATGAGAATATTTGTATAAAGTTCTAAAACACATAAAATAATGCAAGCTATTTGTGTGGACATACACATATGCAGGAGTAATATAGAATTATACTAAGAATTCATAAAACAGCCATTCTAAGGTGCAGTCAGTCACCTAGGGTGGGAGGTAGGACAGGTGCTATACAAGATTTATTGTATTTGTAAGATTTTAGTTCTCCTTTAAAAGTCTGAGTTAAATGTAGAACAAAGGAGATCTGAGGACTCCGGGTGGGTGAAACCTGCCCTAACTACCTTTGCTTTTCTGAAATCTACACACGTGGCATTGAGATTCAAGAAAGCTGCTGCCATTGGCCTCTGGTCAAATATATCATCGGCTATAGGTCCTTTCTAATTCTCAGCAGCTCCTGTAGATGTGCCCTCCCAGCCTTTTAGGTAAAGCTAGCTTGCTCCCAGTGTCAGAGCTGAGCACCTTGCTTGCTCCTCCCCTTCTGGAGGAAGCGCCAACAGCCTCTGCCGTGCACAGCCTCCCCACCTGTCAGCATGGAGGGCCCTGCTCCGGGGTTCCTTGCTGTCACCACCTCACCTCAGCACTAGAGAAACTAGCAGGACGCAGGTTGGGATTACTGGGCACCGTTCTGTCTCTGTCATGGGTAGGTCCTAAATTTAAGCTCCAGGATGATCCAGATATGATACGTGTTTATAGGTCTATATGTAAGTGTAAGCATATCTGTAAGTACGTGCATACATGTGAACATGCAGATATGCTCATCCCTGTAGACACATGTGTAAATGCAGGATTGTTGTAGAACCCACATAGGTGCTTTGCCCTTGAAGGTGGGATTTCCCTCCCCCAAAGCTTCATTTCCATCCCTGCCCCATTCGGGACCTGATTCAGGATCATTCTAGAACCTTGTTGCCCCTGAAACAAGTCACTACCCTGAAATGGACCTAGCATCCCACCCTGGCACAGAGGCATCAGGGCTGTTTGGTGTGTCATGAAAGCAGGATCCCCAGCTTGTTGATAACCAGGAGCTGTGTAGATAAGGGTGGGGTTTACCTTTGGCATTTCTCACCAGCAGAAGGTGGATTCACCCCTGCCCTTAGTGTTTGAGCTTCTCCAGGAGGGCCTAAGGCTCAAGTCTCTGAAAGTCTAGGATTCTACAGGAATGTGGGACTTCAATAGTGTGAGATTGAAATAAGACAGCCGGGTCTGAAATGGTCCCATTTGTGCAAAATTTGTTTTTCTTTTAAAGAATTATTTTGTTTCATTTTATTTATTTATGTATGTATTTTCATTTGACCAGAGAGGGACAGAGTGAGAGTGAGAAAGGGAAAGTGAGAAAGCAAGCCGCCAGGTCCAGGACTTGAACCACAGTCAGGCATGTGGGAGTTCAGCACCCTTACAGGAGGGCCTAAGGCTCAAGTCTCTGAAAGTCTAGGATTCTACAGGAATGTGGGACTTCAATAGTGTGAGATTGAAATAAGACAGCCGGGTCTGAAATGGTCCCATTTGTGCAAAATTTGTTTTTCTTTTAAAGAATTATTTTGTTTCATTTTATTTATTTATGTATGTATTTTCATTTGACCAGAGAGGGACAGAGTGAGAGTGAGAAAGGGAAAGTGAGAAAGCAAGCCGCCAGGTCCAGGACTTGAACCACAGTCAGGCATGTGGGAGTTCAGCACCCTTAACCACTACACCACCTGCCAGCCCCAGAAGTCTTGGTTTATCCCTGCCTCTCTCTCCCACGCCCTGTCAGCATGTTAGCACCACAAACACCATGCTTCTGATGTGGATTTAGGCAGCATTTTCCTGTCACTTGACCCCTGATTTGGCCCCAGGTCACCGCTCTGATGACGAGGAGTGCAGCCCAACCTTGTGCTGGCCTGGAGGCGGCAGTGCTGGACAGGGAGCAGGCAGGAGGCCCCCAGTGCAGGTGGCCCAGGTAGCAGCCTGGTAATTACTGTGTACACAGGCTACTAATTGCACATTTCAGGAATGATGGATGAGGTGGCAGGGAGGAGCGAGGACACGGTGCGATTCTGAGGGGAGCCCCGGCGTGACGTTGTGCTCCTGCACAGCTGTGGGGTGGGACATGATTAATGAACAGCATCCCAGAGGGTGTGCGTGGTGACCGCCCAGAGATGCGGCTGGTAGGGCCCTGTTCCCTCTAGGGAGTGGGGGAGGGCATGGTGCTCTCATGAGGTTTATCTCTGAAGAGTCCTGAAGGGCAGGGCTTTTGCTTCCTCCTCTGAAAGGAAATGTACATTTCAAGCCAGAGCCGCTGCCAGGATTTCACCTGTGTGCAAACTTGGGCCATTTATTTTGATCTGCTCATGCAAAGTCGACAATGCTTACTCCAGGCCTTGAGCACAATGGAGCTATGTCCTGTTGCTGAGAAAGCACACCCAGCTCTAGAAAGGAGTGGCCACGAGAGGGTGCCAAGAGGACAAGGCCCTCCCTCAGCAGAGTCCGCTGCCCGAGGGAGTGAGTGCTTATCAGGGCGGTGCCAGTGGAGAAAGGCCCCGCCTGCGTGTGTCTGTGTCTGAGCAGAGCTGGTCAGGAACGGGCAGTGCAAGTCCCCCTACCAGCAGCCGAGGCAGTTGGACACTAGAGCCCACCAGGGGCCCATAGGTACAACTTAGTGGCCCTGTATAGAAGAGATGTCACTGAATGCTTGAGCATGCATGTTTCCGGCAAGTTACAAATACCCCAGCTGCACACAGACTGCTGGGCCCATAGTGGGGAAAACCAAAGTGATTATTTTTTTCTTTTTCTTTTCTTTAGCTCTTGGAATTTGACAAAGAGTTGTCTGTCTTTAAGGACAGACTTTATGAACTGGACATCTCATTCCCTCCCAGGTAAGGAAGACTCCACTTGCCAGGTAATGCTTCCACCTTCCTCCTCTCTGGTGCATCCATGTGTGCATCTCTATGTGCCAATGTGCCTATGTGCATTGTGTATGCACAGGTTTGCATCTCTGTGTGCCTGTGTGCATTGTGTGTGCATATGTGTGCATATGTGTATGCCTGTGTTACGTTGTATACCTGTGTGCATCTATGAGCCTATGCATATTATATATGTGCACCTGTGTGCATCTGTGTGAATCTTTGGTGCTTGTATGCTCTCTGTGTGTATATATGTGCATCTGTGTGTTGGCTGTGTTCACATGTGTGTGTCTATGTGCCTATGTGTATTATGTGTGCATCTTTGTGCCCATATATGTTATATGTGCGCATGTGTTCATCCGCTGTGTGTGTCTTTGTATACATTTGTGCATCTGTGTACCTGTGTATGTTGTTTCTGTGTGGACATATGTGTGTCTGTGTACATCATACACATATATGCAAACTGTACCTTTTGCCCTTTCCATGGCCTAAAGAAACCAGCTGAGAATAAGTAATTCTGTTACCATTTTTTTCTTCCAAAAAGACTTACTCAATATGCAAAATAAGACCTAACTCCTCAGTTTTGCGGACAAGGTCCACAGGTGCAGCTGTGTCTTAGGGATCTTTCTGGGAATATCAAGATCTGCCATAATGTAATATCTTGGGGTGGGTTTTTATTTGTCTTTCTCAGGCTGTAAGTTTTTGCTGTTTTACTCTCACCTTTGTGGAATCTTGAAATGTATAACAACACTGGGTTCCCTTCTGAGTAGCCATGGGCCTCAGAGAGGCATGGTACAGAGGAGAAGTAATTGAATAGAAAGTAGCCCATGAGGTGTGGCCAGGCCTGGGTCTGCAGGACTCAGCCCACAGTGGACCACCTTGCCCACTGAGACCTCTTGGACTTGGCGTCCATGTGTCCAGGGCATCCATAAAGCAAGGAGACAGCCGCCCTAAGGACATGGATGCCCTGTCAGGATGTCTGGCCCTTGACAACTGCTTCTCTTCCTACCCCTTCTTTCTCCATTCTCAGATCCTAAGACATTTTGTCTCAGGTGAAATCATGCACCTCAGGAATGTTCAGGGAAACTTTCAAAATAGACAGGAATCACAACGAGTGACAGGGAATACAACCGGGCAGCACCTAATGTTTACCCACTTGTTTTGTGTCAGGCCCCGTGGTAAACACTTCAAACCCTACCTGACGAAGAGCTGTGCATCTGCAGGGTACTCCAGGGCTCAACATTCTTCACATTGTTTTAGTTCCTTCTCTGATGCTCAATACCTAGACATCAAAGAGCATGTAGTTATAAAGATCAGAGATTTATTTAACTCAGTTTGGGGGGGTCCAAGTTCAAGGGGCTGCACCTGGTGAGGGTCTTCTCGGTTAGTGCAGACTCTTCAGAGTCCGAAGTAGTGCAAAGAGTTGCATGATGAAACCTTGCACAGAGCACACGTGTCCATGAGTCTGCTCTTAGAAAGCTACCAGAGTCTGTCATGGGTCCTTACACTGATGACCTCATCTAATCTCTGTCACCCCCCCCCCAAAGGCCCTATCTTTCAACACCATAGTCAGATTAAGTCTCTGTTCCCTCAACACCTTTACAATGGTCACCAAATATCAACACATGAATTTCTGGGGGACACATTTAGACTATAGCACACCCTCTCAGTGGAGGTCACCCTAATTCCTGTGCCATGTCTTAGTGGTTGAGCATGTGCAGGCTGGAACAAGCCCCTGTCCCCCATTAAATATTGGATTTGCTGTGGCTTATTGGTAATGAGTCACAGGCCTGCACCCCACTGACCTCAGGGGCCAGATTATCAGAGCTCACGGTCAGCACCCAAGCCAAAGGTTTTAGGGGAGGCTGGAAAAGCAGGGACTGTGGACCCCCTAAGCCATGAGGGCACCAGGTTGGTGCCATGCCAAAGCCTCAATATCTGCAAATGTACAGCCCACGGCATTGGGGGAAAGGGGGGGGAGGAAAGGCAGCCCTGACAGGTGCTGACCAAGCACACTTCTCTCATGTCTCAAGTCCAGTGAGAACAGGTACTGCTTTACATATGCAGTTAAAGGTGCAATTAAATATCTTTCCAAGGACATTTTGAGCCTGAACACATACTTAGGGTTTGTTCAGATTCCTCTTCGTAAGTGTGACACACCAGACATCCTGAATATCCTTCCCTGCTGGAACAATTCTGGACAGAAGCTCAAGGATATCTTTCTCAGCGTTTTGCTGAGCTGGCCAGGAGGAAGGAGGCCTGGAGACCTCAGAAGGTTGAGGACACAACCCTGCAGGGTTTGTGGACTCTGGGTTGGTGTCTGTCTGGAGAGTGTCTTCCAAACCCTACAGCCTTGAAAGTCACCTGGCATGGAAGATACAGAGCAGGGCCTGGGCAAACTGGGAGTCCAGAGGACCTTGTGGTCAGTGCCTAGGTGGATGAAGAAGCACCCACCACCTTGCAGGCATCAGAGAAACCTGACAAGAGTATAGGAGCACAAGTCAGCTCTCTCGTGCACTGCAGCTATCCTCAGCACAGCGGCATGTCCTGGAAAGTCAAGGAGCATTTATCACGAAGGGGTCCAGCTGAGTGGGCCACAGGAGACTGAAAAGAAACTCAAACCTTCAGAGGAATATAGCTATAACCTAGGCTTTGCTAAGTGTCAGAGCTGGCTGATGAGAAGAGGGTCTGTAAGATTCTCTGTGGCTTACCTGAGACCTTCTCTTACCTGGATGGGAGAAGGGGAGGCAGCAGTGGATTTTATAGGAGGCTTTGGCACCAAATTGAAAAAACTTGAAAGCTGCCTATGTGTGCTGGTCCCTGGCTATCTCCCCTCCCTCACTCCCAAGGATGCCTGGAGTAGTCTGTATGCACGGAGAGATCCTTTGTTTCCAGTGAAAGCTGTTGGAGTTTGATTGGTTAGTGTGGTAGGAGGGTGGTCTCCAAAGATGTCTATGCACTAGTCCCAGAACTGGGTATATATGGCAAAAGGGCCTGTGCAGAGATGATTACAGAGATATCCTCAAATAGGGATGGTGTCTGGGGTCATCTAAGTGGGCCTAGCTGAGAAACATGAATGCTGGAGACCAGCAAACTTTCTCTGGCCAGAAGGCAGACGAACACCAGGTTCAAAGCCTGAGGTGGGCTTGTCCACTGCTGGCTGTGAGGGTGTAGGTGACCACAAGCTGAGCAGGATTCCAACTGAGTCCTGGTGAGGAAATGAGACCAAAGCCCCATAGCTCCAGGACCCAATTCTGTCAGCATCCTGGAAAGTCTTGGGAGCAAATGCTCCCCTGAGTCCCAGGAATGGCAGGACTGACACTTTGACCTCGACCTTGGAGACCCTGAGCAGATAAACTGGTCAAGCCCACCCAGCCAGCCAGCTCATGGAGAGTGAGATGAGCGTGTGCTGTCTTAGGCTGTTAACTCTAGTGGCATATCAGGACAGTGTTGGTAAAGGTGAGCTCAAGAGTCTGATTCAGTTTTCCACACTCATGCCCCCAGTACTGCTGCAAGCAGGGTGCTGGTGTCCCTTGTGATCCCATGGTCTGAACTCCTGGTCTGCCAACAGCTGCTGAGTCATCTCTCACTGCCCAAGATGCACGTGCTGTCACTCCTCCCTTTGGTTCTACTGTATTTTGAAAACCATCAAAACCAAACAGCCCCGTGATAGGTTGTCATGTGGGTTTTGAAGAATCATTCCAAGTAGTAAAGATGGCATAAGCTAAAGTGTAAACTGGGGGCCAACCAGGGGCATGGTGGTTAAAGCAGCTGGATCCCACATGGCTAACTTTGTGGTTCAAATCTCAGATCCAGGGATCAGCAGTTAGCATAATGGCTATGTTGCTGGACTCCCATGTAGTCGACCGCGGTTCACGTCTCAGACCCGGTGGCTTAAAACTCACGCCGGGCATGTGTGCATGCGTGCCCAAGATTCCGAGAGGAGAATGGAGGAGAAGGGATTGCAGCGTGACCATCCCCACTGGGGGGTGATTTCTCGCTTTCTGTCTCTCTGTCTCTCTCTCTCTGGCGAGTGCACGTGCTCTGACAGCTAATCTCAGATCTGGCAGCTAATGCTGGGTGCATGTGTGATTGTGGTGTAACCATCTCCCATGGAGGGTGCTTCTTACCTTCTCTCTCCAGCAAGCACATGTGCCTTCTAGCCAAAAAAAAAAAAATTTTTTTTTTAAAGTGTAAACTGGAACAGAGCAGGGCAGTAATTGGAAATGGTGGTTGTGTGACTTGCTTCTCCCAGATGTATTCTCCAACTGCAATAAAATAGGTGGTCTCAGACATACTCAGAAATATGCATGTGGGAACCAGCAGTTAGCGTAATGGCTATGTCACTGGACTCCCACGAAGTCGACCACGGTTCGCGTCCCAGACCCGGTGGCTTAGAACTCACGCCGGGCGCATGTGCGTGTGTGCCCAAAATCTCAAGAGGAGAATGGAGGAGAAGGGATTGCAGCGTGACCATCCCCACTGGGGGGTGATTTCTCTCTTTCTGTCTCTATGTCTCTCTCTGTCTGTCTGGCGAGCGCACACGCCCTATAGTGAAAACCTCTCCAAAAAAAAAAAAAAAAGAAAGAAAGAAAGAAATATGCATGTGAGTGGAGGATATGTGCACAGGAGTACGAACTTGTGTGCACATTTGCATAGATATATGCATGGTTGTACATATAGGAGACACTGTGCATAGGCGTGTTCACTAGTGTGTGTGTCTGTCAGTGTATATGCATGTATGTGCAGTTCATGTTTGAGTGTCCAGGATGTATTGAGTGGGTTAGGACTATTTGGGAACGTGTGTGTGCAGTGCATGGGTTTCCATGTGTGCACAGTGTGTCCCTGTATGCATGAATATATGCATGTGTATGTGTGAGCATTGGTTTGAATATGCATACAGTATGCAGAACTGGTACACACATGTAGGTATATATGCACATGTGCACGAGTGTATATACACCCAAGCCTAT